AATTATTTTAGAGAAAAGCCACCGTCTTAACCACCTGAGACAAAGCTAGAAAATGATATTCTTTGACAGACTGTCGGAACAACACCATGCAGAAAATTCATTGAGAAACTGAAGAACAAATAGTTTGGTCAATTAGTAAAAATGCAACCACAACAACTACCAAATGCAGGTATTAAAAAAAAAACTGTTTCTCCCTATAACTCTAAATGGCAGAAGTGGGCACTGATGATGATTATGACTAATTTTAAAACACACACAAAAGCTCACGCACGCACATGCACACACACACACACACATATATATATATATATATATATATATATATATATATATACTCTTATATTCTTTTTTCTGCACTCATTACTTGCTGAAGTGAGACACATACTTTTGTCTAGTTTCTTCCCTTTCTAGGGAAGTCAATAATGAGCACCTAGGCGATTAGTAATTCACCTGCTTCTCTTGTCATTTCGTGTTAATATGGAAAGCTCTTTAATGTCATCAATCGATATTGTAGAAGCATTTAAGGCTATCACACACAACTGATGATAATGATTATGCCTTGAAAGTAATTAATTAATTAACATTGATGCATGATTTTTCAAATATCTACTTTTAGAAAAGTAAATTCGGAAGTCTTGGAAACGTCTTGGGAATTGGACAGCTGTACTGTGTGTTGACCACGGAATACCTGAACAAGCAACGGAATCAGTAGATTATTACTGCCTGGAGAAAATGAGGCATCTGGGTGTAACCAGGGGGTCTGGCTGGCTAACTAAACTCAGAGAAAAGGCAAGACGGAAATATAACCAGATTGTGAACGGTACCATCAGTATTGGAACTGCGCTGGCTGCTGAAGATGAGGATGGAGCATGCATTGGAATGCCCCGAGTGCTGTAATGTCAGTTCTTAACTCAACTCAACTCAACTCAACCTTTAGGAAGAGTGTCAGAAGGAGAGCCAGGTCATTTTGATCGACACGAAAAACTATCTGTGCTAGGATTGACTGTACACGAACCCCAAGACAACGGATTGACAAGATTACCACCGCTGAAAGTCTTCATCTTCGGTTTTTCCAGCACTTGGTGTTCATTGCTGCAGATATCACGCGCCTTCATTTATTTCTCTGGTTTGCCTTCTCTTTTCAGTCGAGGGGCACTAAGTCTGGATATTGTCTCTCCATATTCCTATTTGTCTACCTCGTATCTGTGACCATTTAGCCTACTTGTGAATGCAGTGTCTACCTTTCTGTCACAGGACATTCTCTCTTCTTCTTCTTCTCTTCCACCTTGTACCTCAGCAAAGTGTCGCGGGGAGATGTAACATTTGTTGACAAGCTCTGTCAAGAGCACTTTTAAGACTTGTATTTATTTCTGTAATGCTGTTCTTAATGTCATCACTCCATATTTCCGAGGTCTTCCACTTGCTCTATACCCTTTGTAAAGTGCTAGTGTGGCTCGCTGTGGCAAATAGTACCAGGCCATTCTTTTTTTGGTGTCCAGACCACTTCATTTGTGTGACTTTGATGACTTGAAAGACTGGCTTTATTCCTAGCTTTCGTCTGATTTCGTGATTTCGTATTCTGCCTTTCCTTAAAACTCCTGCAGCTCTTCTAAGGCATTTCGTCTCTGGTGTCACATTTTTACGTTCATTGGAGAATGTAAATGTCTACGTTTGGCACAGATAGCACAGTGTTAGCATAAAATTAATGCCATTCTCTCTACACGTCCTTTTTTAAATCAATGCAACATCATACCTTGTAGAGCTACAAGTTATTTCTACACAAAACCTTCTTATACTTCATGCCCGTTGGCGTTGGTAGTCATATCTACACACAACTTTCTTATGGTTAATGCCTTGTGGCATTGGTAATCATGTTTACATAAAACTGTCATATTTTTCACGCCTTGTGGCGTTGGTAGTCATGTCTAGGCACAACTTTCTTATGGCTCATGCTCCACGGCGTTAGTAGTCATGTCTACACACAGCTTTCTTATAGTTAATGCTCTCCGGCATTAGTAGTCATGTCTACATACAACTTTCTTATAGTTCAAGCCCTCTGGCATTAGTAGTCATGTCTACATACAACTTTCTTATAGTTCATGCCCTCCGGCGCTGGTAGTCATGTCTACATACAACTTTCCTATAGTTCATGCCCCTGGCGTTAGTAGTCATGTCTACATACAACTTTCCTATAGTTCATGCACTCTGGCGTTAGTAGTCATGTCTACATACAACCTTATTATAGTTCATGCCCTCTCTTGTTAATAGTCATGTCTACATACAACTTTCTTATAGTTTATGCCCTCCGGCATTAGTATTCGTGTCTACATACAACTTTCTTATGGTTTCTGCCCTTCGGCGTTGGTAGTCATGTCTACACACAACTTTCTTATGGTTCATGCCCTCCGGCGTTAGTAGTCGTGTCTACATACAACTTTCTCATGGTTTCTGCCCTTCGGCGTTAGTAGTCATTTCTACATACAACTTTCTTTTGGTTCATGCCCTTCGGCGTTAGCAGTCATGTCTACACACAATTTTCTTGTAGTTTATGCTGTGTGGTTTTGGTAATCATGTCTACACAGAATATATTTGTCTTACATGTCGTGTGGCGTTTTTTGTTATATCTTTCCACAAGCTTCTATCTTTGGGGGTTATGTCAATCCACCAGTCTTGTATAGTTTCTGCCGTGTGGTGTTGCTAGTAATGTTTATCCACACCTTTCTTTCTCCTGTACTTTCTGTCATTTCTGACACATTTTACTCTCACGCCATGATGTCAAACTGTCCAGCATTCTCTAACTCTCGGTTTCCTTCTGATTCTTCTCCGTTTCAATTTTCCAATCTTCGACTATCTTCGACTAACTTGCTATGTGCCAATTCACTTTCGTATATCAAGATATGATTCACATAGCTCAATAATTTAGACACACTTTAATTCGAAAAATGTAACCTCTTTCTTATTAGTTGTTGTTTTGTTTACTTTTATACATGTGAGATTTCAGCCTGAACGATTTAGACATCGCTGTTGGACTTTTACGTTAATAAAGGCTCGCAGCCGATTCCCTATTCTCTTCTACGCAGAGCAGTTCTTATAGACATAGCACATAGAATTTAGTAACGCCACCTCTGATCGCTTGCATTGACATTCTGACTTCCGGAGCCAACTTGTTTCCAATCCCAGTGATTTTTTGTTTTTGTTTTTAGTTATTCTTTAATCTTACTGCATTCCTTATTACACTCTCATGCCCCTCAGCAAAAATACCATAATTGTTATAAGAAACAGAACTAAACAATATGTCCTGGTAAAAAAAAAAAAAATTACGTGATATGTCATTCAAAACACAAACGGAATCTAAAAACATGCCATTCGTTTAAACCGGTATGCTTAAAAAAAAATAAAATAAACTCTATTGGTCCAACATAATGAGAGAGATATTTATTACATCAATTAGTAAAGATACTGACTAGGTGTAATCGGAAGGGAGAGGTGGGCGAACATAAACCGAATGCAACATTTGAATGGTGAGCTTGGAGCAAGAAAGTGACAGACATCAGCGTATAGATTGTAGCTTTCTCATCTTCATCAGTTCTCTTTATGCCTAGTGGCACATGAGGCTTCAGAGAGGACTTTTCATCTGTTTTTGTCCTGTGCAATCTTCTATACAGTTTTCCATGTCAAAGATGCCGCACTCAGGTCACTTTCCATCGTTCGTCTCCATGTTGTTTTTGGGCGCCCTTGTTTTTTCTTTCCCTCTGGTGTCCATGTGAGAGCTGTCTTGGCAGGTATATCAGGATTCATTCTTATAACGTGGCCAAGCCATTTCCATCTTCTCTTGGTTATCATACTGTCTAAAGTTTCTTGGTTTGTGACTTGAAGTAGTTGAGTGTTTGAGATTGTATCTGGTCAAAAAATTTTGATAATTCTACGTAGACATGTGTGGTGGAAAGTGGACAGCTTGTGTGCATCCTTGTTGGTCATTTTCCAGCATTCTGCTCCATAAAGAAGAACTGGCAAAATGATGCTCTTGTAGAGTCGGAGTTTCGTTCCTCTGCAGTAATTGTTGGATTTCCAGATTTGCCTCATCCTTTCAAAAGCAGCTCTAGCTTTGTTCAGACGCGACTGTACATCCTCTTCGGTCCCTCCCGGTAGGGACACCACACTGCCAAGATATGTGAAATTTTCTACATTTTCAAGAGTTTAATTGTTTATGGTTACTGGTTGTTGGTTTGGACTGCTTTGTCATTTTACTGCGTTGTAGCTTTTTAGAGGAACAAAAATCGTTCGCGAATAAAATAACCTAAACATAAATGCATAAACATAAATACTTCCCCATCCCATCCCAATAGAAGGAAAAAAAAGATATACACACGTAGGGTAATTGTAACTGACTCACAGAGCATGTTTAGAAAGGTGGAGACAGATATGCCATAGTGAAGAGTGGGAAGCATCGCTTTTCAGAGATCCTGGGCATTTAGCGTCCTTTGGATATATTCTCCTGCGACAGCCAGTGTATTGGAAATAAATAGGCAGATAGACGGGCTGATTCTGCACAACATAGTGTTAAACTGATGCATACTAAGATACATGTTGTAAGGGGACTTTGGGGGTGTGTGAACAGTGCCGGGACACATACAGATAATCAAGATTTGAGAAACAATGTGCTGCAATGAGTGACCAAGGGATCTAGCCGACAATCAACACTCAAAGGAAAGGTGAGACGGATATACAATCACACTTGTACTGGTTTCATCAAAATTGTAACTCTTGCTGCTGACAATTTGGACACAGTGCTTATGAGAATTCTCAAGTGCTGTGATGTAGATTCTTAACTAATCCTAAACCTAATCATAAACAGAAAATCTTCATCATGAAATAAAATAACAATCTTAGTTATAGGAAGCGATAGTAGAAGGTGGAGAAAGAGAGAAAAAGCAGTTGAAGTGTACTCAGCTTTCTTCCATTATCGTTTGTTTAATGTTTGGTGCCATGGAAACCATGTGTTAACTATTTCCAGCAATGGGACAATTTGGGCTTAACACCGAGAAAAACTCAAACACACTGGTCTGACCACAGTCTCCGACAACTTTGAAAGGATACGGTCTCATCATCAACGGCCTTAAACTACTCTCCATACACGTACACACCAGAGCTGTGCAATTGCTGACGTCCAGAGTAACTAGCCCGCTAAGGTAGTTCAGTGCTAGCGGTAAGCGGGTGAGTTGTGTATGTCTCAGGTTTAGTAAGTACAGATTTGGCAGACGTTGTAGTGCAATAGGTGAGATTGTGGTCAGTGGGTTATTGTTTAACTGTAAATACATAAGTCCAAAATTGTCTGGGAAACTTGCTTCTGTTAATTCGGTAACTAAATTAAAACTAACATCAATTGATGTTACCTGACTGTGAAAATCAGATTGCTGTAAAGCTTTTATATTGTTATTTGACAAGCCGATATCTGTTACCAAGACTAAAGTAGACAAGATTCTAGGACAGAAGGAAAGAGAGTTGTACGACAGATCAAAAAGACTGGTATCTGTAGCCGCAGCCCCGGAATTGGGATCATGTATTTTATTGTGAGAAAAGTCCAGCATATTCACTTTGGAAAGGGCAGAAAAATCCGGGATGGCAGTTAGAAGGTTGTAGTTTATGTCCAAGGAGAATAATGTTTCATTGAAATAGCTCAGAGCTTGGCTTACGTGAGTAGCGTTGGATAAATAGTTATTGTTGATAGATAAAGAGTCTAATTTACTGTAATGAGGGAGCCAATCCAGATTTGTAATATGATTCTCGGAGAGTGACAAAGTCTGTAGAGATTTCAAGTTTGAAACTGCCTTTGGAACTATGGTTAATCTGTTATTGTCAAGACTGAGGCTTGTTAAAGTATTGGCCACACCGTCAAGTGCGTTATCGGGGATAGTAGAGAAAGAAGCATGTGAAATAGTTAGCTCAGTTAGTTTCGTAAAATTCTTAATCCACATGGGCCACGAGGTCACTCCAGCATTGTCGAGATCAAGGGTGTTCAATGTTTGAGCCAAGTTGTCCCAGGCGTCATCGTTCCAATCTGTAATGTTACCGTTGGTGATTGACAGCAGATTTAAAGCTCGTAAACGTCCAATTGCGTTTGGAAATTTACTGAAACGAACATTGGACAAGTAGATTGTGGCCAGCGTATTGATGGATTCATGGAAGACATCGTCGTCCATTGTTGATAATGGACTGTCTTGCAGGTCGATGAATGTCAGGTTGGCCGGGAAGCTGCCACTGGGGATGCTTGAGACGTTGTTACCCTGTGCGCAAAAATTCCCTTTGTAATCAATAATTTGATCAATATATTGTTAGAGGAAGAAGAAGGGCAGATGGAGGAGAAAGGTGTGAAAGAAAGCAGCAGTAGGAAGAGGAGAGGATGATAATCATGAGAAAGAAAAAGAAAAAAAAAAGAAGATGATGATGATGATAAAGTTGGAGAATTAAGAAGAGGGGCGGGTAAAACAATAGAAAGTTGCGAAGAAACAAGAAATGTCTGAGTATGTATGCGTGTGCATATTTAAGTGTGTGTGTGTGTGTGCGAAAGAGAGAGAGAGAGAGAGATACAGAGAGATAGAGAGATAGAGAGATACAGAGAGATAGACAGAGATGGAGAGAGATAGACTGAGATAGACAGAGATGGATATGTATGCTTGTGTTTCACATACTATGTGTCTGTGTGTGTGTGTGTATGTGTGTGTGTGCGCGTAGACGTGGGAGTATGCATGATAGAATTGATATATACTGTTCGAAGTTTGAATAATCATACAGAATGTATTAGGGCAAAATTACAATGCGGTCTGGTCGGCAGACGACAAGCGAACCGTCATATGGTTTGTCTAGAGAGAATTGCAGGTTTACCTTTACGGACGGAGCAAACAACATTATAAAATAACAAAACATAACCCTAGACCCAATAGAGTCGTGGAGATGCAGTGATGGAAGCATCAGCATTAAAAACCCCTCATCCTACTCTGTCTTCCGCCTAATGAACAAGTGTTTGATAACTTTGTCCTGCCCATTTCCTGATTTCCATTCAAGGCTCCTCTTTGCCCTACTTTTCGTCGACGACCTCCCAGTGTTCCTTGAAGTTCAGTCTTTGCAATCGAATCATGTCTCATTAAGTGCACACACCAAGCTAGCTTGCGACGTACGACCACTGACAAGAGGGGCTTCTGATGTCCAGCAGATTTGTATATTTTTCCTCTGACATATTTATTAGTTTTGTTTTCTTAATAACAATTTCGTAAAATGCGTCTGTAGCATTTACATTCGAAAGCCTGAATCCTCCTTTCTATTTCAACAGAGAGAGAAAGAAAACTGGACTGTCCCGAAGATAAGAAAAAAAAATCAAAGTGCTGCTGATACACGTGAAATGACTGGACCAGTTTAGGAGTATCAAGGTTGTCTCGTTCACAGAAAGCTCATCATCATCATCAGGTGCCTTGCTGACTGTAGTAGGCGATCATGCCTCTCCATAATCCATGATCTCATGCAGCATGTATCAGTTCGTGTGCCGACACAACTCCATGCCATGCAACAAGACTGTCACGAATCTTCTCTTGTTGTCTTCCTCTATCCCTCCTTCTACAGATCTTTCCAGTTTTCACAACATGTTCTAATTTCCCTCTTTTCATAACATGTCCAAAAATGATTACTGTCTCCTTCTGATGTCTGTGATAAGTTGTCTTCGGGCTCCCGCCTCTTTCAAAACCTCTTGGTTGCTCTTTTTAGCATGCTTCTGTAAAACCACATCTCTGAGGCCTCAAGAAATTGTTCGGCCTGCCTACCAATTGTCCGGGATTCACAGCCATATGTTAAAACTGGATGTATGTAGCAAGCAGGAATTCTTTTTCTAACTCTCAATGACAAGGATATATTGCACAAGATGTTCTTCATTTGATCAAATGTATTTGTGTCTGTCACAGACAGTTACGTCTGAATAATTCGAGCTTGAATCAATACAGAAGTCCACTGTGCGTGGAGTCACCTTTATTTTTGTTCCGGGATACGCAGGCGTCGATGGAAATGAAAGAGATGACAGGTTGGCTGGATCTGCTATCACTAGCGACGGTCGGCCTATGGATTATGCTGATATTAATAATGCCCTCAGAGAAATGGGAAGGATATGGGACTTTGGTGGCAGTGAATCCACATCACTCGCCAGAATGGTAGACTTGGGAATTAAGATCGGCATAGCAACAAACAAAAAAACGAGACGCACAACAGACACACCAAAAGACTTGTTAATCAACATAGAACTGGTACTATAGCCATCGGACGTTGGGGTTCATACTGAGGGGATGATTGAAGCACCTCTGGACATGTCCGGAGTACAATAATGATGACCCAATTAACTAACTAACCAACTAACTAACTAACTAACTAACTAACTAACAATTCGGGTTTTGCGCCAGTTTTTAAAGATTCATATAAACTCGGTAGAAATGCACCTGACCAGCGGAATTTGCCATAAAATGACTATGCAGTAATTATGGATTCAGAGCTATTTACTGTATACGGGTTGAATTATTAATATAAATGTATTTTTTGTTTGTGATTAAGTTTAGGTTTAATTAAGAATCTACATCACATATATATATATATATATATATATATATATATATATATATATATATATATATATATATATATATATATATATATATATTGTACAGACACAAAAAACATACGTCAAAGTTCAGATCCCATTCCGAACTGGTAACTTCTGGATTGAGTTGTGGCATCACTTGTAGGTTTTTGTTGGAACAAAGGATCAGTATTGAAGAGCAGAAACATTCCTGAAAAAAGCAGCCGCCGAATTATTTGTCTGTCTGTCTGTCTGTCTGTCTGTCTGTCTGTCTGTCTGTCTGTCTGTCTGTCTGTCTGTCTGTCTGTCTGTCTGTCTGTCTGTCTGTCTGTCTGTCTGTCTGTCTGTCTGTCTGTCTGTCTGTCTGTCTGTCTGTCTGTCTGTCTGTCTGTCTGTCTGTCTGTCTGTCTGTCCGTCTGTCTGTCTGTCCATCCCTACCACCATCATAGGCGGCTATGAAGTGTGTATTGAAACGGGATGTGTTGGATAAAACGGCGCAATTTCACAGCCACATCACAATATGTCAAACCACTATTTTAAAGGGCACCGCGCAAGACAGACTAAACTGACCTTGTATACGCAGTCAGCCTGGCTCACGGGGAGCCATAGGAAGATGCTCAAAAGGATTTGAACACTTTGTATTGGTTTTCCCATATTGGTAAGTGACACAGACGCTAGGTCACAAGATAATCTGAAACAGTAATGTTGTTAATAATGATATAATACCACATCATAAAAGACACTCATTTAGAGGCATATGGTATGGGCGCATTAGGATTGGGGGGAGAGGGGGCAGGGGGGAGGGGGGAGGGTGATAGAAGAATGAGTCGAATTTCGTACAAACAAGAGCAATCACATATAGAGAATCTGAATAGATAGTGAATCGAAAAAACAGTCGTTAAAAGAAGAGAGAAAAACGTGACATAATTTCCGCAAACTAAAAGACATAATATTCATATGTAATCAAATATGCCAATAGCAATGGGATAATAATAGCGTACTTTATAGTACACGCTCACACACACACACACATATATATTCTATTACACTTAAAATGTTTTACTTGAAGACCCACTTAAGTTTATGTTAACCAGTTGAGTAAAGAATGGGAGATATGCCACTTGGGGTCCCCGTATGGGTTCCGGGGCCTCGTTGTGTAATCCAGAACCCCTTGGTGAGGAACACAAGAATAAACCCACTGCCTCCCCAAGAAGCATGTCTAAGGAGTCGATAACATTGTCGGGGGTAAGGCTTTCCACAAAGTCGGATTGCAATGCCTTAGAGGCCATCAAACAACAGTCTACACTAACAAACAAAAAAATGGCGTATTTGTAAAACGGATGTGTATACAAAACTCATGTTCTGGAACGAGACTCAAGTCATGAGGTGGACGAACAACCATAACTTTCCACCGGAGTTTGCAGTGAATGCAATAAAGAAGACACCGCTGTGGGACGTTTCAGCAATCAGTCCTTTAAGATCTTCAACAGCCAGTGACGATTTTCTTGATTTCTAACAGTCAGTAGTTTCCTATACTAAGAACAAAGTTAATCACGAAACAGTGAAATTAAACCTACCTGAATTCTCATAGCATATTCAAAACAGGCAACCAATCTTTGAGTTAGTCTTATCTATATACGTTGTATCTATGCTATTAAAGGCTGTCTATTGCAATTCTTGGTAGTTAATTCAGAGAACCACACACACTCACCTAATTTATGTTTTCTGATTGCGTTTGTCGTTTACGCAACATATGTATGTAGACTCAAGTCCGATGTCTGTTACAATGAAGGAGAGAATAGTGTTCCTGTTTTCATACTGCTTTTTGTTTTAACATATGGGATACACATGAACGCGCACATATGCCCACACAAATATATATATATATATATATATATATATATATATATATATATATATATATATATATATATATATATATATATTTGCATTTTTCATATATCCACTGTAAACTGAAAACTGTAATCAAAAATGGAATAAAGCAGGGGTGTGTACTTGCTCCTAGCCTCCTTGGAATATACTTTTCACTTCTTTTGACACATGCCTTTCGAGATCAGCAGGGTGGTATATTCATTCATTGTCGATCTGACGGCAGCCTTTACAATACTCGCAGGCTGAAGGCCAAAAATAGGATAAGAAAGGTACTTATCAGAGAGCTGCTGTTTGCAGATGATGCCGAAATAACCACCCACTCAGAGGAGGAGCTGCAATGTTTACTATGTGCTTATGTTGATTCATGATGTGAATGTGGACAAAAAGTCAGCAAAAAGAAGACAAATGTTATGGTGAAAGATTTTAATGATGGACCTGCAGTCTTCATTGACTGTGAAGAGCTTGAGACAGTAGACCATTTCACCTATCTGGGTCCCACAGTGAAAAGTAAACTATCGCTGGATCAAGAAATTAACATCAGGGTATGTAAGGCAGCAACAACAATGAGCAGATCGACAAAGACTGTTTGGGAGAACAGTGAGCTAACAATTAAAACAAAACCCCTTGTCTATAAGGCTTGTGTTTGCAGCACCCTGCTTTATGGCAGTTAAACTTGGTCAACCTTTTTGCACCAGAAGAGACAAGTTTAATAGATTTCACATGTGATGCCTAAGAAGAATACTTGGTATTAAGTGGCAGGACAAAATCACAAACACTGAGGTACTGGAAAGAGCAGGTTCTACAACCGTCTTTTTCATGCTCAGTCTACGAAAGCTCAGGTGGGTGTGCCACACCTGGAGAATTGAGGATGGCAGAGTTCCTAAGGTCATTCTTTATGGTAAATTAAAGACGGGAAGAAGATATCGAGGCCGACCTCTACTACGGTATAAAAATGTGTGCAAGAGGGACATGGATGATACAGGTACTGAGGTGGACTCATGTTAACAAAATGAAATGGACCGTGTTGTGTGGAAAGGGCATATCAGAAAGGGAATGAGAGTGAAAAAAGAAATGATTGCCGAAAGGATGAGATCTGAGCGTCTGAAACGAAACGGATTAAACACAAATGTTGACAACAATGGTCCTAAAATCCCATGCTAACAGTGTGGATGCTTTTCTTGACGCAGGCGGGTCCCATGTCTTCTCATAGCCCAATATCACACTATCGTCTGGAAAGACGGAAAGGTGCCAATCAATCTGCAATCATCCTACACATATATATTCTGTTTTCTGCAAACTCATTATTTACTGAAGAGAGACACATACTTGTATGTAGTTCCGTTCCAGTGGAATCATGACAGTGGGAAAACTGGACCATTGTTGTAGACCGAGGAACAGTTGGAGGAAAAGAATCAGAAGGAGAGCAAGGGAACAGAATTTAGGCCGACATTTAAAAAAAGACACCTGCATAAGAACAGACTGACTGTACATAGGCCCAAAACTACAGATTGACACGATTACCACCTCTGAATGTCTTCTTAATCTTCAGCATTCCGAGCCCTTTGCAGATATTGCCCTCCTCCATTCATCTTTCTGGTTGGCCTTATTTGTCCAGGTGATGATACCAAGTGTTTGCAGGTATTTCTGGATATTGTCTCTCAATAGTCTTCTTGGTCTGCCTCGTGGTCTATGACCGTTATGCTCCCATGTGTGTATAGTTTTTACCTCTATGTCGTCTGTCATTCTCTGTATGCCCCAGTTCAAACCCATGTAACATCGATACTTAGCTATCTGTTTCGTTGCAAAGGTGGGAGTGTCGCTTCAAATCACAACCTGGAGGACTTCTGAAAGTCGTATCTTCTTTTCTTCTTCTTCAGCATTCCTAGCCGTTAAGGTTCATTGCTGCAGATATCTCCCGCCTCCATTCATCTCTCTGGTTGGCATTCTCTTTCTAGTTGGTGACATCAGGCGTTTGCAGGTAAAAGTCACATACAAAAAAAAAAAATTGGTATGCTTCAATATATCGTCTACTCCTAAGGCAGCATCGCTTACTTTCTCCTTTTTTTTTTTCTATTGCACATATCAATTATACATGCAGTGGAAGATGTATGATTTTGTATATGTTTGTGCTGCTGCTTCAGTATTAAATATCAGTGTTCATATTTGGACCTAAACAATCATCTACTTAGTTTCTGTTGTGCCATTATGTCTCTGATTTACCAAGTTTCAACTTTACACATGCTTTTTTTTTTTTAAATTCCTTTTTACTTTCATACTGTTTTTTGGTTTAATATTCTTATCTTTGTCAGTCTCTTACTGATCTTTAGCTCTAATTGTTGTGATCTCGGATCAAGTATGTTTAATGCATCTTGCATCTGATTCTATGAGTGGGATAGAAGATAAACATCAGCGAAGTCCAGATCTTCAAGCTGATTTATAGGGGTGCACTGGATTCTATTCCCGGCAGTATTTCTTGTTGTCTTCATTATCCCGTCTATTGCCAGTAAAAATAGCAGAGACGACAAAAGACACCCCTGTCGCACACCTGTTATTTCAAATGCATATTGTAGCTATTCCTTATGAAGAAAGTCACATATCATTTTCTGGGATCCCATAGTGCATTATCTATCTCCAGAGAGATTTCCTATCAGTTTTGTCAAAGGGGTTTTCAAAGTCGACGAATCTAATGTAAAATGATGCACTCCTGGTATTTTTATTGTGACTTTATTGTCAGTACACGATCTGTTTGACTCAATACCTGCCATTTCTACTCTTTTCTGTTTAACAATGATATTTTTTAGGCTTTCTAAAATCAGCATCATGATGTAGCAAGTCCTTTGCAGAATGTCGCTCCTTTTACAGTCTGCCTGAAAGAAACCCGGTCTCTTGCCAGTTCTCCCGCCTAATGTACTTTCATACTCAAGGAGTCAATTATATCCTGTGCCCATCTTCGTGTCGGTCGGCGCCTGCCCCTCCTTCCTTGTACCATGCCTTTTGCTATAATTTTTTCCACTCTGTCGTGGCGCTTGATAGGACCAAAATATTTCAGCTTTCGATAAAAGAATGCTGTTTATTAGTCAATCTTTCTTGATATTCAGATCTTTTAAGATGTCAATATTTCTCATCTTCTTTGTCCAAGATATTCTGAGAATCTTTCTATAGCATTTCAGCTTAAAAGCCCCTATTCAATTATTTAAGGACTGAGTCCACGACTCACATCCGTATGTAACCACAGGAAAGATGCATGCTCTCAAAATTCTAATTTTTATCTCCTTGCTGGTGCTTAACCATAGACTTTCTATAATAGTCCTACTTAATATTTAACCTGAACTGACAGAAATATAATTCTTCTATAGCTTTGACATTCTTTTAGGTCAACTAGTTGTTTTGTTTGTGTTTTAGACATTCCTCCTTCTCTTCAGTCTGCAAGTATTTCTTCAGGAGCCAAGATCAACCTGGTAGGGATCTAAACGCAAGTCCTTTCCCCAGTTAAACAGGCTCCTAGCAAGATGGCTTCCCAGTGTTCTTGTACTTGGCTGAGATAGCTGTTGCCTACAGATAATACTGACAAGTCAACAGATAAGCGAAGCTAGGAAAAGTGGCCGGCTGTTAGTCGACTGGACAAGAATTCATGTAGGTATGACTATTGATCGTGCTTAACACTGCTTGTTTTACATTGAGGTATTTTAGACTTTTGTCATTATGATTATCTAGATCAGTGTTTTTTTTTATAAAAATCTCGCTTAGAGTATAGTTGGCAAGTGGTATTGTTATAAACTCTGGGTTACATTCTGATATATATTAATGATCACTGGTTGGCACCTTTCCGTCTTTCCACAAGATAGTGTTATATTGCGCTATGAGGAGGCGTGAGACTAATGAGACTTACAGCCCTTGGCGATGACGAGTGTGACTAGCAAAGACCCGACCGTTTTAAGAAAAGTCTTCAACAATTATAGCATCGGATTTCAGGAAAATTGTTAACATTTGTGTTTAGTCTGTTTCTTTTCAGGCGCTCTGCTCTCATTCTTTATACAATTTTTTTCTTCCTTGATTCTCATTCCCTTCCTAATTCGCCCCCTCCACACAATACTGTCCATTGCGTTATTATCATTATCACAATCACTATCACCATTATTATCTTTATCTTCACATCGTCATAGTCGCTCCAGTATTCGATATCTTTTTTCCAGAATACAGTATACCTCACGCCTTCCTGACAATCGAATATGGGACAAGCCAGACATGATGTTTTATTGCAATTGTTCCTCTTGTTGCGGCTCCACCTCTGTCGGGCTGACTGTGTTTATAAGGTAAGCTCTCTGATTTAATTTTGGGGCAAAATTTGGCGAGGAAATGTAAAGGAAAGACCATCTTCACCATGATGCGAAATTTGACTAAATGGAAGTTTTCTGATACCGCAACTGTTGGGCTTTTAAGCAAATGTTTCGCTGACTTGCTGTAAACCACATCAACGTGTCAACCGTTTATTTGAAGGCGAACGCAAAAGAATGAGAGAAAGGATAACAATGCCAAAGGTGTTTATTAGTGTAATGATCGGATAATCGGGTGAACTCATCTATAGGAAATTGTTAAATGGATAAAGGTTAAAGTCATAAACATGGGAAATGTTTAAAAGTTACAGTCATGATTTCATTTGTGAGAAATGGGTAGAGTAGTATCAGTATATATATAAACTTTTTCTTTTTCTTTAGCATTCCGAGCCCTTGAGGTTCATTGCTGCAGATATCACCCGTCTCCATTCATCTCTCTGATTAGCCTTCTCTTTCCAGTTGCTGACACCAAGTATTTGCATGTCTGTCTTGATATTATTTTCCATCGTCTTCTTGATCTGCCTCGGGGTCTACGATCATTCATCTCCTTGGTGTATACAGTTTTCACTTCTCTGTCATTTGACATTATTTCAGTATGCCCCAGCCATTTCAGTCTATTAGCTCTCATGATGCAAATGATTGATGGTGATTTCAACAGATTATGAATTTTTTTGTTGCTTCTGTGGCGGGTAAATTCGCTTTACTCTAGCGACTGCACTATGTGCAATTTACAGAGGGAACTACAAACAGTGAAACTTCATACAGTATTATATTACCCCCAGCCTTGCTGGTTAAATGAGAGGATTCGGGGATTGCCCACATCTTATTCCCTACTGTTATTAAATTTGTATATTTAAATGTTCTTAAGTTCACTGACAAACAACTATTTCAGTTAAAATGAAACTCCATAAAACTGTAGGAACATTAAAACTAACATTTATTTGGAATTGGAATTCAAGCTAATAATCAAAAGGCTGTGGATACAATTATGGATTGGGATAGTAACAGATGTTCCCACTTAGCTGTAGCTCAGGTTTCTTTGGTCAGCTTCTAGCTAAGCCTCGGATACACATCAGGCAGGCCAACGCTTCCAGTTCAGTCCAGACAATCGGGCATCTGCAGCTACGCTGGGATTTACTTATGGAACTCTCACCTGGAACTACTATCTGGAACTAGAACAATAGAACAGTCCCTATATAAACAGTTTGGAAAGTTCTCACTGGAGACAATAGTGCCTCCAGTTCTCATATAATGTTACACTACACACATATATATGGAGTAGGATAATCAAGTATTCACATTCTTTACTGGTACAGAATGTGAATGTATACAGAACAGGGTCCATTATCCTGATGGGGAAATATTTTAGGAAACATCAGTTTCATGAATACTCTCTAGCCCACTAGTTTACATCACACAATAAGAAAGGACATTCCTCAGTGTAAATTGTTCTGATGTCTGTACACTAGTACTCCTTTGAAGGGTTAACATGCTTACACACACAGACATACACAGTCATTTTCTCATTTTAACCACATGGTTCACATCACAAAGAATGAGAAACAGGGAGTGAGTTTACAAAAGCCAGAAACTCATAACAGGTTCTTTGCAGTGTTTGAAAACAAATAGGATTGACACATCTCCATCAATATAACTGGGTGCTGGGATAAATGTCAAAATATAATCATAGATGACAATGGGCTTTCCATCTGTCACAGTATTAACATAAAATATACAACACTCACTCCAGTGTAAATCTAAATCCACATGTGTGATGACATCTTAGTCAGCAGAGTTTAGAAGTTGTGAGGGGTAAAATATAATTATTAAAATTGTAAGGCAACCTGCTGTAGAACTGAAATGTATTCCTAGTAATAGTGAAATATATCTACAACAATAATAACTACAGGCATGGGCCATACATTTCTCTTCTTCTTCTCTGACAGTGTGAATATTAAATTCAGCCCCACTGTGTTATTCACTTTTCAAGCTCTTAAACCAGTCTCAGAATTATCTTGACTAAATCTTGGTTAAAGCCAGACAGTAATTTATCAAGCTAATTTCACCATGAGGTAAAATCAACTTAAAGGATTATGTATAATGAATATACACTTAATTTCTTTTTTAATTGTCTCACCATGCTGGAAACCGGAACTGGCCGAGATTTCACACGAGGACATAAATTCTCACATAATCAATATAATTATAATAATTAAAAATACCAATGCAGGTTTTTAGTATCAAATAAACAATAATTAAATCATCAAAAAGAAAATATGTTTACACACATGTACATACTAGATCATAAACGTGGTTAGTTAGGATAAAGAAATTTATCATGTTTCTAAGCCACGTGGGCATCAAACAGCATATAAAATTAATTCAGAAAAATAGTAGCAATAGATCAAATTACACTAATTTGATTAACTCACCCCTGGTAGGGAATTCAAACACACAATGGTGACTGCAGTTGGTTATACTGGTGGGTCATAAGCAGACAGAGAACCGTCTAGCTTACCATGTGTTCTGTTTGAAAATGACAGAGGAGAGTTCTAAAAGGGGGAAGTAACTCTTGAGTTACCCCTTGCACTACTCGTCCTCTCATTCACCTTTTAACTCTTAACTAATGAATTAATTATATTGCTATAATAAAGCAATAAGTAAAAGAACAGAAACAGCTGTCCAGACCAGCTCGTCACAGCTTCTCACTCTCCATTCACCGCTGTTTGCATCTTTGATTGATGGGTCTAAAGATTCGTTTTAAGACTCTGTTTTCAAAAACCTGTATTAAGGCTTATCTCTTTTAGTTATGCTCGAAATTTCAGAGCCATACAAAAAGATTGATTTCATCAACGTTTATAGATCTGTTTCGTAACGATTTATATATATATATATATATATATATATATATATATATATATATATATATATACTATTATATATATATATATATACAAATTAGAATTCATAGAAAATCCTGATATTATTTTTAAAAGGTGAAGTAGCTACGACAGAAAATAAATGAAAGAAGAAAACAAACTGTATAAATTATAAGCAGTTAATCATTATAGGTACTTTAGCAGAACGTCGCTCTCATCACGGTCTGCCTGAAAGAAACTCTGTATCTCGCCAGCTCCCCCGCCTGGTGTACGTTCATATTCAACGAGTCATATACTGTTCTCATCTTTTTATTGGTCGGTCCCTAAAACTCCTTCCGTAAACTGAGCCTCCTAATATTATTTTTGATTACAATCCTCCATGGTGTTAATATGACCAAAAGAGTTCGACTTCCAAAGAAGTCAATATGCTTTGAAAATGCACTGATTCGAGAAGGCGATGAAGACTTGGCAACATGAGCGGCAAAAGAGCAGGAGGTAAACAAAAGAAAAAAATATCTTCATGACATGGCCACAAGAATGGGGTGGGCAAAGAGCATCGACCTGATCCATGATTCAGGTGATTGTATGTCATCATGTGCCCTGCCAACTGGCGTTGGCGCTCATGCGTCTCCACAGATCACGATCCCTGGTTGCCTAGACCAGCTCTTTTGATGATATCCCTACATGGCAGAGTTGCATCCCATCAAGCAACATCTCTCTTACAAACACGTAAGGTTGAGAGATGTGAAGCAGCGTCATTGCACATGGTTATAAAGCATAAGTGCTCTGCACCAGTACAGACAGCTGATAAGAAACTGTCCGCATGTGTCGCCGTCCACACGAAACTCCGTAGCTACAGCGACGTCCCTCCATTTACCCTAAAGTGTTAACTATGGTACCCATTTCCTAGAGACTGGGTGAACCCACGAAACCGCCCAGTTTCGAACACCGGCAGTGGGCTGCGGCTAGTCGCAGCTAGATTTGAAAGAGAGTCTCCTATCGACTGCGCTAACGCGCCCCGCTATATTTATATAATCTCTCTCTCTTCTTCTCCCCTTGTTCCATTGATCTTTCCAGTTGTCCCGATGTTCTCCAATATCTCACTTCTCATTATGTGGCCAAAGAACAGTGTTTGTCTCTGTCTTCTTGATCTTATTAGAAGGTAAAGTATGACCCACTCATATAGGCATGATGACGCTCAAGTAAAATGTGCTGCAATTGTAAGAGATTTTAAAAATAATCCCTGTGGAAAGTGAATCAGAAATAAATATGTATATACACATAAATATATATATTGAATACTCATAAAAGATACTTATGTCAAAGATAAACTAGGATAAGCGATGACAACAATTCGACACAATAAGGACAGAGCTTCATTACTTGTAATGAGTAAATATGGATGATTAGATGGATGGATAGGTGGATGGATGAATGGATGGCTGGATAAATCGATAGACAGACAGACAGACAGACAGACAGACAGACAGACAGACAGACAGACAGACAGACAGACAGACAGACAGACAGACAGACAGACAGACAGACAGACAGACAGACAGACAGACAGACAGACAGACAGACAGACAGACAGACAGACAGACAGACAGACAGACAGACAGACAGACAGACAGACAGACAGACAGACAGACAGACAGACAGACAGATAGATAGATAGATAGATAGATAGATAGATAGCATAGATAGATAGATAGATAGATAGATAGATAGATAGATAGATAGATAGATAGATAGATAGATAGATAGATAGATAGATAGATAGATAGATAGATAGATAGATAGATAGATAGATAGATAGATAGATAGACAGACAGACAGACAGACAGACAGACAGACAGACAGACAGACAGACAGACAGACAGACAGACAGACAGACAGAGAGACAGACAGACAGACAGACAGACAGACAGACAGACAGACAGACAGACAGACAGACAGACAGACAGACAGACAGACAGACAGACAGACAGACAGACAGACAGACAGACAGACAGACAGATAGATAGATAGAAAGATAGATAGATAGATACATAGATAGATAGATAGATAGATAGATAGATAGATAGATAGATAGACAGACAGACAGACAGACAGACAGACAGACAGACAGACAGACAGACAGACAGACAGACAGACAGACAGACAGACAGACAGACAGACAGACAGACAGACAGACAGACAGATAGATAGATAGATAGATAGATAGATAGATAGATAGATAGATAGATAGATAGATAGATAGATAGATAGATAGATAGATAGATAGATATATATATAGATAGATAGATAGATAGATAGATAGATAGATAGATAGATAGATAGATAGATAGATAGATAGATAGATAGATAGATAGATAGATAGATAGATAGATAGATAGATAGATAGATAGATAGCTGGCTGGCTGGCTAGCTGTCTGTCTGAATAGATTGACGGACAGAGAGATAGACAAGCAAATAACATCTTTTTTACCTCCCAATTTTCAGGAATGTTCTTGCTCGCCATATCTGATCGTGTGTTCCTACAAAAATCTGCAAGTGATCCCTCCTCTGAATCCTGCAGTTACTTATCCGGAATGGGATCTAACCTTAAACGTAAGTGTATCATGTAGTAATTATTTTTGCTATTTCAGTCACTGGCGTTGGCTAATTTGTCTTTCCTAAGACAATAGTGTAAGTGTGCGCGCACATGCGTGCGTGTGTGTGTGTGTGGGTGTTTGTATGTGTGTGTATGTGTGTGTGTGTGTGTGTGTGTGTGTGTGTGTTAAATGGAGACAGAGTAATCACAGCCTATGACAATAGCTTTAAAACTAGCAGGACCCACCCACCTTTAGCAACGTAAATTAATCCAGGAATGAAGTTTTTCCCCTCTGTAGCCTAACTTCTGAGCAGTCTTGCATAAACCTGTATTCTCGACCCTTTTACACAAACTAGGAAGTTTGTGTCGCAGTCTGTTTTTCTGTTCTTCTAGTTCATCGGCTGTGAATTCCAGTGGAAGGTCCCGGTGGTTCGTCCATTTGGACTTTTAGCATTTTAACTGGACCTGAGCTTTGCGTGTACATCCGTTTTACTGGCTTATCTGTTGGCCGTTCCTTGCTTCACCGGCAGATGTACTCTGAATTTAAGGGAAGGCGTCAAGCCTATCTCTACGATGACTGTAAAGATTGTTTTGTTTGAGTCGAGATGTTGCCTCATTTGTGTGGTGTAATTTGTGTCCCTTTATCTACAAATGTTGCCCACTGAGTACACCCTTTAGGGCAGCTATATGTTGAACGATCAACCCCCAAGGGATGGTAGGGGCAGATCATGGGGATTCCCCGCCATCGAAGGAGGCTTCCATAAAAGCAGCGCCGACAGATGACGCTCTAGGTCTGGGCTCACCCAAGGAATTATCACGTCCTTCACAGGACGTCTTAACCTCACAACCGTATATTAACCTTCCCTTTCAACACAGGCTGCGCCCTTCGGACATCAGCAGGGAGCAGCTCACATATCTTTGACTTTTGTCATTACATTATTTTTCGTCGCATATTAGACATCTTTAACGTTGTTTCAACTGTGGCCTTGGCACAACAAAATGGAGAATCATCCGTTAGGCACGGCTTCGCCTGTTTGGTCCCAACACTAAGGCGAGTGGGGCCACTGGATGCGGACATCTGGACTTTATTCCAATCAGTAGGATTTATGATTGTCGGATTTTAAGCTTTCTCGTGTGGCGCTGGATTTATCTTCGTCGGACATTAGGGACTAGAAAGCAGATGAACAATTGCTGTCGTGGTGTACCTCAGAGCAATGACGACGACGCTGAGAGTTTACAGAGGATTTATGAAGGTAGGATCTTGCTGCGAGAAACCGCTCACAGGAGATGTAACTCGTTTAAGCTACGGGTAAATCTCATTGTCAATTGTGGATTCCCTGCAGCATAGTTTTCGCTTTCATTCAACATTCTTTTAATCGAGAGTTGTCATTCAGTGGTACATTTGGCAAGCAGACATGTTCCAAATGAGTTTTGATAGATTTTTTGTTTGTTTTTGCCCACGCGTTTGGGGGCGGGCTGATTAGAGCCAGAAGGGACACTACACCTCTGGAGGACGCCAACTCCGAGATCCCCTGACAGCTCTGTTAATGCTTTTTGAAGGCATTTTCCGTGGCGCACGACGAGGACACGTAGCAGGAGTCTTTCAGGAGGTTCCGTAAAACAAGAACTGTGAAGGGCTGGCGTCCGAGTGAGCTACGGAGTATCTCCTTATACACATAAAATCAGATTTAACTTTCACCTCAAGCCTGTGACAGAAATCACCACGCCTCCACGGTCTGTCTCGAATCCAACCAAACACAGACACACAACTGTAGATGAGAGATAATTTGTTAAATCCGATAAAACAAAAAATACACGTTATATCTAAAGTGACATCTGTTGCTGCTTTAATGTCGTAAACACTGGGCTGGAGAGTAAATTCTGAGAGAGGAAGGACTGCAATAACATTTATTCGATTTATCTGTTTTGGTTTTAATTACTTACTTACATATCTGATATAGTCTTTGCACACAAATATGTTGTCGAAATAACGACAAGCAGTCTGACAACTATGTAACTCAAACATGAATTGTTTGTATACGTGTGTGTGTGTCTGTTTGTGTGTGTGTGTTGTGAGCATTAACCACAACTCAGATATGTCACTTATTTCTGGTTGATTGCATTCCTCGAGGTTTTAATCCTACAGATTGCAGTCCTGGTATAGAAAAAAAAACATTCTATCCTACCCCATTTAATAATCAGGTATACATTATTTTAGGCCTACCTGGACATTTTCGCAGACCATTCGGACCTTTCCGAGACCTACTTGGACATTTCTAAGACCATTTTGGACATTTACAAGGCCGATCTGGACATTTCCGCAACCCACCTTAACATTGTTAGGCCCACCTGAACATTTACGCGGTCCACATGGACATTTCCGCGGTCCACCTGGACCGTGGGTCACGTGAACTGTTTCGCAACCCCCTTGGGCCTTTCTTGCAGCCCACCAGTGTGCCGCGGCCCATAGGTTGAAGAGGCCTGATATAGATTACGCGTTGCCCTCAGTAGGTCTGCCTTGTTTACTTCAAGGCAAAGGTAACACACGTAGGTTTGGAGCGAAGGAAGCTGCAGAAGCTGCTAAATTAGAAGACTAGTGCTGTCTGTCCGCGTATCAGAACGAACGAAAGAACGAATTTTCTTCTTCTTCTTCTTCTTCTTCTTCTTCTTCTTCTTCTTCTTCTTCTTCTTCTTCTTCTTCTTCTTCTTCTTCTTCTTCTTCTTCTTCTTCTTCTTCTTCTTCTTCACGTTCACCAGCTGTAAACTCCAGTGGAAAGTTCTGGATGTTCGTTCACTTCTGGGCTGCAGTCCTTTTCCAGAACCTGAGTGTTGCGTGTGCATCCGTTTTACAGATCTCACTCATTTGTATGCAGACTACTAGTTCCTTGCCTCTCAGGCAGATGCACTCCTACTTCGGAGGAAGCTCCCAATTAGTCGACTCTTTCGACATGCTTTTGGGTAGGCAGGGGGACTATTCTTGTTTTCCCTATAATAGGGCCCTGGAACCCACGCGGGTAAGAAAGAAAGAACTAATAAACTTTTTTTCGAAGGGTTGAGAATTAGGCACCCAGGCCCGTCTAACATTCAGCCCTTTGAGCTCTTCCGCTTGCCTTACATCCTTTTATTCATACATCAAGTAATAGTAAACTATATCAACAGCATCAAAATATTTAAAACAAGCACAAGAATGTGCAAATTTCTAACTACAGTAAACCGTAGTAGTTTCAGTAAATCTAGGGAAAGTGCGCTATTTCTAACTTTTGTGTGCTATTCCACATCTTAAAAAAAAAAAAAAAATTTAAAAGATGGAGATGTTCCTTGATTTATAAACGACGTCGTTGTGTGGCTTTAAGGCTAGTGATTTGGCTTCACAGTCAGCGACGTACCAGGGTCCAGTTTCCTGTGTAAAAAGTCTACAAATGTACCTATTTTGTATGATTTAGTACAGCGGTGTTACCTTAATGTAGTATGTAGCTATTGCACACACACACACATACACACACACACACACACACACACACACACACACACACACAAAATAGATGCTTATCTTAAAAACAGACCAAAAAAATTAGGAAACCCGGTTATTATTCAGCTTTTACTGGATGTTTGTTAAGGGGCTGTGGATATATACTTTGAAGTGGTGTGGGAGAGGGGGGGGGGGCATCATGATAATCGGTGGTAATTTCATGTTTATTTTCCTTTTACAGAGTAATAATATTTCAAGCATTCCAAGTGGCAGCTTGCCAGCAAACCTCACAGACATCGATCTCCAAGACAATCCTATAACAACAATGGACGACGATGTCTTCGATGGTTCAGTCTATATGCTGGCTTCACTCTATATGTCCTACGTTCGCTTCCCTAAAATCCCGAACGCCATTGGACACCTTCGTGCTTTGACTGAGTTGTCCATCACGGGTGGCAACATCACAAACTGGAACGACGGAGTCTGGATCAACTTGGGTCAAACACTGGAAACGCTTATTCTTGAGAATGTTGGGATGACCACATGGCCTACGTGGATTCAGTATTTCACAAAACTAACTGACTTAACTGTTACATTCGCTTCGTTTTCTACCATACCTGATAACGGACTAGATGGTGTTGCAAATACACTAAAAGATCTGCGATTGTACAACAACAGATTTACTATGGTTCCTAAAGCGATTTCTAACTTAACATCTTTGCAGACACTGTCTATTTACCAAAACCATATTACAAATCTACACTGGCTTCCTCATTATAGTAGGTTGATCAGTTTATCTATCAACAATAATTACCTTTCTAATGCCAGTCATGTTAGTCAGGCTTTGCGCCCGTTCAATGAATCACTGAGCTTCTTAGATATCAACTACAACCTTCTTACTGCCATCCCGGAATTTTCGTTCTTGGTCAATGTGAGAATGCTGGACTTTTCCCACAATAAAATATATGATTCAGATTCTGGTTCTGTTTCTGAGGATACCCATTTTTTGGATGTTTCCTATAATTCCCTTTCATTGTGTCCACGAATTTTGTCTAATTTAGTGTTAGTAACAGATTTCAGCATAGCACATAACAATTTAAAAGCATTTCAAGAATCTGATTTTCACGATCAGGTGACATCAATCAATGCTGAATATAATTCAATAACTGAACTAACGAATACAAGTTTTCCTGAGAATTTTGGACTGTTGTACTTACAGTTAAACGATAACCCATTGACCACAATTTCGTCTGGTCTTCTACAACGTCTGCCACATCTCTACAAACTGGATTTAAGACACACAAAACTCACCCGCTTGCCGCTAGGACTTAGCTACTTATCTGAGCTAGATATTCTGGAAGTCAGAAACTGCACTGCTCTAGTGTGCACTTGTATGGAGAGTACCTTAAGGCCATTCATAATGAGGCCAGCGCCGTTTCAAGTTCTCGGAAACTGTGGTCAGACCAGTATCGCTGAGTTCTTCTCAATGTTGAGCCCATATTGTCCTACTACTGGAAATATTTAGTTGACGTCTCTGTCATGACCCCAGATATTGGGCTAATGCTACTACTGATAACCCAGTACTTTGAAATTCAACATCTTCTGTTTCCACCTTTGCAAAACCGTCTAACAAAGCAAATTAAATACAATTTGTCACTTAACTGATGTGACGAAAACCACTTTTTAAGAGCTGTATTGATCCAACTTTCACATATAGAAGTGAAACATGGAACATTATTCATTTACTCAAAAATGTCGTGAAAGCTGCAGAAACCTAATTTTATGTATGAATTATGAGAACACCATGGGTAGATAAACAGATAGAATTGAATCCACACAGGTCTGATTTGAACAAAATAATTCACTCTCAACCCAAAACCTTCAGGTACCAAGCAATGGTGTATCCACGCCGGTGCCGAGGGGCACTTGATGTATAGGTTAGTTAGATGCGTATCCTTTACAGGACGTTGCAGAACCAGCCCCAATAGCGCCTAGCTGTTGTGTGGGTTTTCTAGGCAAATTTACGTCCAGTAGTGTGCCATTTCTTTCTTGATACCACTGTCGAAACCAACGCCAGGTGCATGGCCCTCATCTGGGATCGAACCCGGTATCCCGGCATTTCGAAGCGTTCGTATCGACTTAGCCACAGAGTGGACTACTTTATGTACAGTCAAGTGAAATATGGTAAAGATGTCTGTTCACCGAACTGGTATATTTGACCTCTAGATTTGGACGTATATTTTGCTATAATAACCAGCACTCGACTGCTGATATGGTCAAAATCACACTGGCAACCTTTGCTTCAAATGGCATTACGAGATACCCATTTTCGTCTGTGTCAACCTGGAAGCCAGGGTAAAGATGAACTAAACAAATTCGGCCTAATGTCGATTTGAATCCTTTACCTTCATGCAACAAGGAGCTCATCCAGCATATAACCTACACTGGCTCTCTTGTATATGGCCATCAAACATACACTATTTAAAAAAAGTATATTTGGCGAGTAGTGTGAGAAGCACGCAGTTATAAATCACGAATTATTTTTTTAACTGAAGTTGGGAGCAAAACATGATTCCGCTTGTTTAAAGAACAGTTGAATTCAGTTCAGATAAAAAATGAAGGACAGTCTCGGCTTAGTTCAGTAAAGAAGATATAAATACTTGTGGATCCACAATCTCCTACGACATTATCTTCCAGCATAGCCTTGATCCTGGATTCCAAACTCTTCTCCTGACATGTACAAACTAGGTCAGCAGATTCGCTGATGTCAAAGTACTGCAAGTAACTGAGCGAAGCAACAGCTCTCGGTAAACGGGTGAGTTTAGACTGCTGAATGGTGAGATCAATCAGATGAGGGACGTTGTTAAAAGCGTCAATGGAGATATAAGATATCGGATTATAACTCAACACCAAGAACGAGATGCTTGAGCTTTCTGGGAAGCATGACTTCGTAATTTCAGTTAACATGTTGTATCCAAAATCCGCATCACCTGTGGTAGGTGGGAAATCTTCTCCACGAATAACAGATATTGGATTAGAATTAAGCTTCAGTTTGGAAACAAATGTTAAAGATTTCATTATACGAGGAATCGTAGCGAGAAAATTGTTGCTTAAAATTACATTCGAAATGCCAACAGGTAGAGCTCCAGAATTTATATCAGAGATGTGGTTATTTGTGAAGTCAATGCTGTCCAACCGTGGTATAAATGAGAGATCGGGAATTGACGTGAATAAATTGTTATTGATAGTAACAGTATAAAGTGTGATTGCGTAAGGCTTTAGAGCGATGCTCAGTGTGGTCGCATTTGTAATCCTGTTGTTGTTTAGCAATAGAGATGATAATTTACTAAGATGAGGTAGCCAGGTAATGTCTGTGATTCTGTTTTCTTCCAAGTTCAAAGTTCTCAAAGCCGTTAACTTTGATATAGCCTTAGGTACACTCGTAAAGCTATTGTTTTGAAGTCCAAGACTAATCAAGGTGTCGACAACCATGTCTAAAGCATCTTCAGGAATTGAAGAAATAGACGCACCCGTAATCTGTAGCTCTGTGAGATGGATAAAGGCTTGAAGCCAGCTTGGCCATTTACTTGAACAAACGTTGTCTAGAACAAGAGAAACAACTAAAGATCCCAATCGTTTCATCGCCTCAACCTCCCAGATACGGATGTTAGAGTCGCAAATACTCAGCGTTTTCAGGTTTCTCAAACTGAGCAATGCCTTAGGAATCTGGCTAAATCTGGCACCGCAGAACTTCAACGTTTGTAGGGAACTCAAGGACTCGTCAAAGGCGTCGTCATCGATGGCTTGGATGGGGTTTCCTTGGAAGGTTATCAGGGTCAGGTTAGCTGGCAGACTGCCAGACCGAATATTGCTAATCTGGTTGCCCTGATGAGAAGATTCGACAACAATATCAAACTGGATTTATCGGGTAATGACACTTCTGCTAATGCAAAATATGTAAATAAATCATTATCGTTAATGTAATCAAAAGATCTGGTTCGGAAATTATGTTGAAGCTGCATTGGTGTAGTTTGATAGAAGAATGATGAAGGAACGAACACAGTAACGAAATAACTTTATTTTCAAGGTTTTTAGAATTGCGCACGTAGGCTGGTCTAACATTCTTCCCTTGCTGTCCACTCCTTGCATATGGTTATTTACTTGTACATCATTAAATAGTTAATCAAAAATATTCTCGCAACATCTAAGTCTTAATTACAAACGCTGAAACGCGCTTTAATATACTTACATTACTGAATTTGTTTTAAAGTATAGAAACATACCTAATCCAAAATGTTAAAAGCAAACCGGGAAAAACAAATAACGTGAAAAAAATGCCTTAAAATGTAATTATTTGCAATGAGAAATAAGTATCTACAACAGAAGAGAGAAATCTGTAAGTCTGGCTCTAATCTTTAGAAGAGTAAATGATGTGGTGACAACATGAAAACATGAGGGCATAAAAGCAACGTTCAAGAGAAGAGACTCCGTGGATAGGCAGGGGGATCAACAACCCACGTCTAGGATTTTATAATCTCTTCAGTGTATTGGTTTTGTTTTTAAGTTAGGAGGCAGTTTTGTGATTCTGAGCTTGTTGTCTATATCAGAATGTGATGCATGCAACCCAGTCTACTTTTTCTTGTAACGTTTTGGTAAAAATGGAACTGTTTAGTTTAGTTTAATTAGTCGAGGTGTCAACATCACCACAATCGGGTTTCCTCATACTTGCTCCGTTCCTGTGCCCGAGCGAATCAAATGAAAAGGCTCTCACTGTTGTATATGAGTTATTGGTGAATAAACAACTAGTTCCGGAACAAGCCAGAAGTGTGTGCGCGCAGTAAATGCGTATTTCAGTTGCTAGGTGCGCCAGAGTCAACAATCGCCACCATAAATGCAGTTTGTCGTTGATGGAAGTAGTCAGGCACGATAAGCTGGTTACTATACACACAAGCAGAATTCTTACATAAGGTATTTTACCAGCTCACACGTAAACCGGCAACCGGCCATATTGAACAAAACGACGCAACAGCTACGCACATGAAGGGCATTCCACAGGAAAAACACAGCTCACAGGGCTGCAACCAAGCACTAAACTCAGTGGCTCAGGTAGCGAAACCGTAGTCTACCATCCTTATATGGAAACTACATTAGCAAAACGCTGTCGGAAGCAAAAATAACTTCATAGCCTAACATTCTGCCAAGCCTTTCCCCCATCTCCGAGGAAGTTTGAAAAATTGAACTGAAACTTGATAAAAACGGATTCGGATTGAAGCCAGGGGAGCATTGAGATGTCATATGTTTGTGAGTTGTGTCATTGTTGTTACAGGGGATACACTGTGTTCCTGGTCGTGTGCATCGTATAAATGCCTCTAGTTGTTGTACCAGCGTAAATCAGATAGAGAATTAGTACATAGGGGCATGTGATCTGTTGACCCATTGTTTGACAACTAACCATACTGTCTCTGTTCAATTTTTTTAATCACGAAAGGATTATTTTCATGCCTCAGTTGCTTCAGATGTATTTCTTCTTCGTCTTTCGTTTGCTTGAAATAGATTATTTATATCTGCAATATTGTCTCTAGTATGAACTTTACTGTCTGTAGTAATTCAATCAACGACCAGTAAAGTTTGGCTTGCACCGCTGTCTCTCTTGGCCACAAGTTTTGTCTTGATAATTCGTATTTCAGATAGTCTTAGAGTAAGTGATCCGTTGTCTCAGGCGCCACTTCACACGAGCAGATAGCTGATTAGCCAATTTTGAATGTTGTTTTTATGTGTCTGCGATGTCGATTGTGTCCTGTTCTAAGGCATAGAACAATAACCTGATCTGGTAAACTGTTCTGGGCCTATATTTGTAAAAATCAGTCTGAACTTGATCAGTTACAAGTTGCTTAAAGCCCTTCTCGACATGCTTCTGCATCGGTACGTCCATCCTTGCTCTGTCTGAGGCGGCCGCCACCTCGGTATCACAATACTAGCCATATTGAATATAAGTTTGTTGGCATATCTTCACACCGTGCTCTCATTGATTACCAATTTCATATCGCCGGTTCAACATCTGTCACATCTTTGTCTTTGGGCATGTGATTTGGTCAACTTGGCGTTTCTAGCCGTTTTTTTTCGAGACCAAAACCTAATGTTTACTTTAGTCTAGGTCTGTCCAGGAGCAACAAACCCCCCCCCCCCCACCCTTTTCCAAGCAAGGAAACTGGACGAGAGTTCAAACGTATCAATGTTTCTGACAGTGTGTGCACAAATCTAACTGAGATTAAACGGTTTAACATCTTTCCTTACCACTAGCTATCTCTGGGAAAAAAAAAAGGGGGGGGGGGGGGGGGGGGGGAGAGTGAGGGTGAAAACTCTGTTCTCCCAAAAAGCATGTCGTAAGTATAAACTAACTAGGGGTGTCTCCTTCCAACCCAACCTAGGTTCTCGAACACATTTAGAGACTAGAAGTTGGCAAACAATAACGACAGTGGGCGCTCGTTTATAGTCGCTTAATTTGAAAAGTATGGGAATTAAAAG